ATTCATTCTCTTCGTCCATTCAGGTACACCTATCAAATGTAGATTAGATCTCTTCACCTCATCCCACATTTCTTGGAGACTTTGTTCATTCCTTTTTGCGCTTTTTTCTCTAATATTGGTTTCTCATTTTATTTCATTGAGTTGATCTTCGACTTCTGATATCCTTTCTTCTGCTTGGTCAATTCGGCTGTTGAGACTTGTGCATGCTTCATGAAGTTCTCGTGTTGTGTTTTTCAGCTCCATCAATTCACTCATATTCCTCTCTAAGTTGTCCATTCTTGTTATCATTTCCTCAAATGTTTTTTCCAAGTTCTTAGTTTCTTTGCATTGAGTTAGAACGTGTTCTTTTAGCTCACACAAGTTTCTCATTATTCTCCATCCAGCTTTGTTCCCTTGCTGGTGAGGGGTTGTGGTCCCTTGTAGGAGGCGAGGTGTTCTGGTTTCAGGTGTTTTCCTCCTTTTTGCACTGGTTTTTTCCCATCTTGATGGATTTATCCACCTGTCGTCTGAGTAGTTGCTGACTTTCCAATTGGGTCTCTGAGTGGATGTCTAGATTGTTAATGATGAAGTATTTCTGTTTCTTAGTTTTCTTTCTAACAGTCTAGCCCCACTGCTGTAGGACTGCTGAGGTCCACTCCAGGCCCTGCTTGCCTGGGGAACACCTGTAGCAGCTGCGGAACAGTGAGGGTTGCTACCAGTTTCTTCTTCTGCTATCTTTGTCCCAGAATTATGCCTGCCAAATGTCAGTCTGATCAGTCCTTTGTGAGGTGAGTTTTTGGATATATGGGGGTCAGGGAGCTGCTTGAGGAGACAGTCTGTACTTTATAGGAGCTCAAGTGCTGAGCTGTGAGCTCCATTGTTCATTCAGGGCTGCTACGCAGGTACGTTTAAGTCTGCTGCAGCAGAACTCATAAAGCCCCTTTTTTTCCTCAGGTGCTCTGTCCCGGGGAGTTAGGGCTTTATTTATGAGCATCCGTTGCACTACCCTGCCCAGCAAGGAGGCAGTCTAGTCACTGCCTGCCTGCAGTGGCTATGCTGAGCTGCTCTGGGCTCTGCCCTGCTGCTGTGTGTAATTCCCTGTAGTCCTATTTATATGGGTGTGGTTAGAACTGCCGTGGCAATGGTGGCCCGCCTCTGTAATGGTGGACTGTCTCTGTTATGGCGGGTTGCCTCGGCAACGGCAGGCTGCGCCAGCAATGGCAGAGTACCTCCGTAGAGGTGGAGTGCCTCGGTAATGGCAGATGCCCCTCCTCCTCCGAGCTGCACCATCCTGGGTTCAGCTGTGCTTGCCGTGAAACTCTCAACCCCGAGCGTTTCCAATTGCTGTTTTCTTTGGTTTTGTGGGGGTGGGACCCGCCGAGCCTTATCACCTGGCTCCCTACCTCAGAGCCCTTTTTTTTTTTTTTTAAGTTGAACGGTTGACTCTCCCAGGTGTTCCAGTCGCCTGCTGAAAGGGCACCAGGATCTGTGTGATTTCCTGTGCGGCGACCCACTGCGCCAGCTGAAACAACATCACTGCCCAGGAATCTCCTGGGCTAACTGTTTAGGTCCCATTTAATCAGATGAATGTGCTAATCTGCCTTCCCAAATCTCAAATTGCCGGTTTAACAGGGCAACCAGACAAGTGTATTTTGTACGGAGTGCTGCTGCGCTGTGGCGCCAACCGAAACAGCCACGCCGGCTTAAACAGCCACATTGGCGGCCCGTGGGGCTCCTACACCTAGGAATCTCCTGATCTGTGGGCAATAAAGATCCATCTGGAAATGTGGCGTCCACTCACCCTCTGTGCTTTCACTGGGAGCTGCAATCCTGAGTTGCTCCTATAGTGCCATCTTCTCCTCTCCTCTCTTTTTTTTTTTTTTTGAAGACAGAGTCCTGCTCTGTTGCCTAGGCTGGAGTGCAGTGGCGTGATCTCAGCTCACTACAACCACTGCCTCCCAGGTTCAAGCAATTCTCCTGCCTCAGTCTCCCAAGTAGCTGGGACTACAGGTGTGCACCACTGTACCCAACTAAATTTTGTATTTTTTTTTTGGTAGAGACAGGGTTTCACCATGTTGACCAGGTTGATCTTGGACTCCTGACCTCAGGTGATTCACCTGCCTCCGAAAGTGCTGGGATTACAGGTGTGAGCCACCGCACCAGGCAGCCAATTGTCTTTTATCAGAACTCTCTTCCCTCCCAAAAATACTTAAGTGGTACCCCATCACCTCTTAGATTAAGATACTCTCTTATCATGACTTCAATGTATTTTAAGACCTGGTACCTCTCTTGCTTAATTTTCTAATATTTCTGACATCAGAACTTATAGGCATGAGCCACCATGCCTAATTTTTTTGTAGAGATGGATTTTGCCACATTGCCCATGCTGGTCTCAAACTCCTGAGCTCAAGTGATCCGCCTGCCTCATCCCCACTACTACTGCCTCAATTTAGTCCATGTCAGTCCCCTGTCCAACTGAAGTAGGACAGTTTGAGCCCTGGAGCCAGAGGTTGCAGTGAGTAGAAATTGCATCACTGTACTCCAGGCTGGGTGAAAGTGGGAGACTGTCTCAAAAAAATAGTCAAGCATTTGTAACTGACTTCACATGCATGTCATGCTATTATAATCCTGTATTGTAGCAAACATGGGTGTTTTCCTTCCCTTTTTTCACCTGAAAAATTATTGGTTATGAGGAATTATCTCTGCTAGAAATTATTACATTATATATTTCTCCCAATGTTTCTTGTTTAAGCTTCTATAGGTATAATTATACATGGTCGTTTGTTTTTAAATGCTATTAAGTGAGCTCCCTAAGGAGACATGCTCTGTCTTAATGAGTACCTGATACAAAGTTGTTGCTGAGTGTCAGGCACTGTGCTAGGTAATTAAGGCATAGATATAATGAGATAAAGGGACCCTTAAATTAAGAAATATATAGAAGTACCTTAAAAATATGTATACATAAGCTTTCTGATCCTTCAATCCTTAGTACACTCCCATGCCTCTAGATTTATGTAGGATCTTACTATTTATACTAATTATCTTCAATTTTTGGTATGTATCAGTCACCTAGGTGAGATATATACATACAAACAGATTCTCAAACTCTGTCCTTGTAATCTCATAAAAGACAGCTGTCATTTAGGGACAGTCTAAAGGTGATCCCAATGGGCAGAAAACTTAGAACTGCTGATTTTATTACTCAGCAGTCACCTCATGTGCTTTCCCAGCATTGTTCTAACTTTTTTCATATCACTTGGTCTCTAGCCAACTAGATTTTACTCTTATTTGTATAAATGCCAGTGCTTACTGAACTCCTATGCACAAAAGTAAGCTGTAACTGTATTTAGGGTCTGTATTTTAAAAAATTAAAATCTAACATCAAATGGGGTTGAGGCCAGGCCCAGTGGCTCACACCAAATCCCAGAGCTTTGGAAGGCTGAGGCAGGAGGATCAGTTGAAGCCAAGAGTTCAAGACCAGGCTAGGCAACATAGCAAGACCTTGGCTCTACAAAAAATAATAATAGAAATTAGCTGAGTGTGGTGGTACATGCTTATAGTCTTGGTTGCTGAGGTGGGAGGACTGCCTGAGCCCAGGAATTCAGGTTACCATGGGCTGTGATAACACCACTGCACTCCAGCCTGGGCAACAGAGGGAGACCATGTTTCTTTAAAAAGAGGTGGAGGAGGCTGGGTGCAGTCGCTCACGCCTGTAATCCCAGCACTTTGAGAGGCCGAGTTGTCTGGATCACAAGGTCAGGAGTTTGAGACCAGCCTGGCCAACATGGTAAAACCCTGTTGCTACTAAAAATGCAAAATATTAGCCAGGCATGGTGGTGGGTGCCTGTAATCCCAGCTACTCAGGAAGATGAGGCAGGAGAATCACTTGAACCCTGGAGGCGGAGGTTGCAGTGAGCTGAGATCATGCCACTGCACCCTGGCCTGGGTGACAGAGTAAGAATGTAAAAAATAATAATAATTTAAATAAAGAGGTGGAGGGTGGGGGAAGGGTAGGGTTTGTATTTGCAAATTTTTTGGGTACTATTAGAAGAACCTGATGTCCTAAGAGATTAAAGGTTGAGCTTTTTTCCATTATACATAGAGAAGAAAGTAAAAGAACCCAAAAATTAATCATTTTGGACTAATTATTTGTGGGACCATTTTTCATAATAGCAGAGCCACTAGTAGATTCCAAATCCCTTGAATCTTATTCTAGGGTTCTGTTATACCACACATTAGTGTTGCTGAGAATGAGGATTTCCAAGATACTTGCTGCTATGGTCAGGAATGCCAATAAACTAGAAGGCTTTATTTATTCAATTTTTTTTTTTTTTTTTTTTTAAGATGGAGTGTCGCCCAGGCTGGAGTGTAGTGGTGCAATCTTGGCTCACTGCAACCTTCACTTCCTGGGTTCAACCAATTCTCCTGCCTCAACCTCCTGAGTAGCTGGGATTACAGGCATGCACCACCACACCTGGCTAATTTTTGTGTAGAGATGGGGTTTCACCATGTTGGCCAGGCTGGTCTCAAACTCCTGACCTCAGTGATCTACCTGCCTCAGCCTCCCAACGCACTGGGATTACAGGCATGAGCCACTGTGCCGGGCCTATTTATTCAAATTTTGAAAACAAAATTACTCTGTCTTACGTACACCTGATACTCTGTCCTATGTACCTGGAAAATCTGGAGTACCTTGGGTAATTGCGTTTGCTACACTTAACCAATATGTTCTAGAACAAGGTCCCTAAAATGATTAAAAGACACTTTGCAAACTTGTCTAGTTAAGAACCTAGAAGTTCTGGTTTCTAGAAAATCAGGTCTGCTACTGCATTATCTAGCGAAGTTCACTGGGCTCAGGCAGAAATCTTCTCTTCCCACACTATAAATCTAATTGAGGAAAATTATCCTGGAATGGACAGGATATTTAAGTTTGATGTAAAACCTTGGTTCCAGAATATATTTTGGTTTTGTATAATGACTTGAGGTAATTAAAAAAAAAAAAAAAAACCAAAGCAACTTACCTAATGATTTCAGCATATTCTTTGTCTTTTCCTTTACTGTCTCTCCATTTCCTGAACATAACTGAAGCATCGACGTTGGCTGGGGAGAAGGTGTTGGGCTCATTAAGCAGTGAGATTACACTTAATAGGATAGTCCTAGAAACAGGAAAAAAGGGTCAGCTATGAATACCCATATTTACAGTATTTAAAACTTCTGCTTTTTAAGAAAGTACAATCGGATTTCAAATTTTCCCTCCCTTAAAATTTTTCTGATACAATTTAATTTGAGACCGTGGGGGATTAGAGAAGATCATAAATTTGTATTGATGGTTTTCATAAAAGGCATTTAAGAAAAATAAGATTTAAAAAATTTTCTTCAGAAACAAGCTGCTGTTAGGCAAAGCAGAGAAAATCTGTGATTCTAGTATAAGGATAATGCACAAAGCATAAAAATGAACTTGATGGAAAGCCCTGTCTCAACTAGCTGCATGTTCCAATCTGCAGAAAGTGGATGTCTTAGAAGCTTTCAAATATTGTTTATTTTTACAATTACAAATTAAATGGCATGAGGGGAAAAGCTTAAAATATTTAGCTTCTCAAAACTCCTGTGCTGATCAGTAGTGGGATCATGCCTGTGAATAGCCACCGTACTCCAGCCTGGGCAACATAGTGAGACCCTGTCTCCAAAAAATTTTTAAAAAGAGAGAAAAAATATTTAATTTCAAGGCAATCTTGATGTGGAACGGGGTAAAAATGACACTATTCTATATAACCAGGTTTGTGGGTTTGTGTTTGTTTTGTTTGTTTTTTGTTTTTGAGACGGAGTTTCGCTCCTGTCGCCCAGGCAATGGAACGATCTTGGCTCACTACAACAACAGTCTCCCAAGTTCAAGCGATTCTCTTGCCTCAGCCTCCTGAGCAGCTGGGATTACAAGCATGCACCACCACACCTGGCTAATTTTATATTTTTAATAGATACGGGGTTTCTCCATGTTGGTCAGGCTGGTCTCGAACTCCCAACCTCAGGTGATCTGCCCGCCTCAGCCTTCCACAGTGCTGGGATTACAGGCGTAAGCCACTACACCCGGCTCAGTTTTTTTTTTTTGTTTTTTTTTTTTGAGACAGAGTCTTGCTCTGTCTCCCAGGATGCAGTGCAGTGGCATGGTCTCAGCTCACTGTAACCTCTGCCTCCCGTGTTTAAGTGATTCTCCTGCCTCAGTCTCCTGAGTAGCTGGGATTACAGGCATGTGCCACCACGCCTAGCTCATTTTTGTATTTTTAGTAGGGAGAGGGTTTTGCAGTGTTGGCCAGGCTGGTCCTGAACTCCTGGCCTTAAGTGATCTGCCCATCTTGGCCTCCCAAAGTGCTTGGATTACACGCATGAGCCACCATGCCCAGCCCTATATAACCAGTTTTTATTGTGGCCTCTTAAATGACCTGAAAAAGAGTGCTACAAATATATTTTTTCCATACTTAGAAGACAGAGTTAAGCAGGAGAATGGAGGAAAAGCAGAATCCTCCAAACAAAAGAATTAGAATCTCTGAATAACAGAAATTTTCATTCAAAGGTATTTACTATGTACCTACTGTGTGCCAGAGGCACCAAGTGAGATGTAAAATGGATGTACAGTATACAATGCTGAGCAAGTTAGATGCCATCCCCTGGTCTCCCAGGGCTTACAAATCTAGTGGGTGTTACAAAAGGCCAGTTTTCATCCACAGATAAAAATTAGACATTTCATAGCCGGGCACGGTGGCTCAAGCCTGTAATCCCAGCACTTTGGGAGGCTGAGGTGGGTGGATCACAAGGTCAATGGATCGAGACCATCCTGGTCAACATGGTGAAACCCCGTCTCTACTAAAAATACAAAAAATTAGCTGGGCATGGTGGCGCGTGCCTGTAATCCCAGCTACTCAGGAGGCTGAGACAGGAGAATTGCCTGAACCCAGGAGGTGGAGGTTGCGGTGAGCCAAGATCGCGCCATTGCACTCCAGCCTGGGTAACAAGAGCGAAACTCCGTCTCAAAAAAGAAAAAAAAAAAAAAATTAAACATTCCAAATAATCAGGGAATAAAGTTTTTGTTAGAAAGTCTTGGCTTCAAAACAGTTCCAAATTACTCCTAGGCTTTTCCCCCTAAACAATTGTGTGCATTAGGAGAAAAATGGGAGGAAAGATGAAATGTCTCTATCTTTCCTCACTGATAAGAGATTGTGCTGCAAAAATAGCCTTTTGCTCCTGGCCCCAAGCAAAAAACAAAGGGAGGAAAACAGGCAATTAGATGTTTGATCTGATGAAAACTTTTCCTTAAAATGGTTAAGAATTTCTGTTATACGATTATACAAGATTATGACAAAGGCATTTTCAAAGAAAACTTTTCTATCTAGTTAGAATCCATTGATCACACATGCTCCTTTCTGTTAGGTTAAGGAGAACTCCTTGGCCTTCCTCCCCTAAGAGCCTTCTGGATTTCTTCAGTAATTACATTAAAAAGAGTCAAAGAAGGCCAGGTAAGGTTGCTCACGTCTGTAATCAAAGCACCTTAGGAGGCCGAGGCAGGTGGATCACAAGGTCAGGAGATTGAGACCATCCTGGCTAACATGGTGAAACCCTGTCTCTACTAAAAATACAAAAAATTAGCCGGGTGTGGTGGCATGCCCCTATAGCCCCAGCTACTCAGGAGGATGAGGCGAGAGAATTGCTTGAACCCAGGAGGTGCAGGTTGCAGTGAGCCCAGATTGAACTACTGCACTCAGCCTGGGTGAAAGAGCGAGACTGTGTCTCAAAACAAAAAAAAAGAAAGAAGGAAAGAAAGAAACTCATCACTGCCAACGTAGAAAATGGATGGACAAGTGTTCAAGTGGTTCTTCTGCCTTAGCCTCTAGCCTTGACCAGGCTGGTCTTGAACTCCTGACCTCAAGTGATCCACTGGCCTCGGCCTCCCAAGGTGCTGGGATTATAGGTGTGAGTCACCATGGCTGGCTGGAAAAATAGCTTAAATTGTCTAGATCAGTACTGTCCATTAACAACTTTCTATGATGATGATTATGTTGATGTATAACCTATGCTGTTCAATAAAGTAACCACTAGCCACATGCAGCTACTTAAATATTATCCTGGCACAGTGGCATACACTTGTAGTCCCAGCTACTTGAGAGGCTGAGGCAGAAGGAGTTTGAGGCTGTAGTGTGCTGATCATGCCTATAAATAGCCTCTGTATTCCAGCCTGGGCAACATAGTGAGACCCTGTCTTAAAATAAATAAATATTAAAATTCACTTTGAAATGTAGCCTGCACAACTGAAAAATACTTTATTTTATTGAACAGTATTATTTTTTTGAGGCAGAGTCTCACTCTGTCACCAGGCTGGAGTGCAGTGGCACGATCACAGCTCGCTGCAACCTCCATCTCCCAGGTTCAAGCGATTCTCCTGCCTCAGCCTCCCGAATGTAAACCACATGTAGTTAGAGGCTACCATATTGGACAACACAGATCTAGATGAATCCTATTACCTGAATTAAGAAAAAGTTTCCCACAAGTAGTTTCACCAATTTGATTTTCTTGCATTTTGTGTATTAATATAGTGTGTATATTGGGAAACAAATTTTTAAATGTTTAATCATCTGTATCTAACAAAATGAGAACTTCTAATTCCAGGTCCTCTTAAGTTAAAAATCCAGGATGTTATGGCTGGGCACGATGGCTCATGCCTCTAATCTCAAAAGTGAAACTTCATCTCAAAAAAAATAATAATAATTTCAATTGCTAGCTCATTTTTTTGTTGTCAGTTTTATTAAGCATTTAAAATCCTTATTCATTTATTGTATTTTCTCAGGAGAAACAAGAAGATGGAAAGGTTTAACAATGGGTGAAATGAGAGTGGAAGAAAGACCCAATAATGAAACTATCAAATTAATGTACCCCAATGATGGGGTCAATAGAGCCCTCTAACGGGATGTTTTCTGCACATCATGAATGAAGGGGAAAAGTTCAAGAAAACAATAGACGTATACTGATTATTATTCTACTTTTGTCCATGTAAGTCACAGTTTCATGTGAAGCTTGAATTTTTAGCAGTAACATGGAGTTGCATTTATACAATTAGACCATCTTTTGGCACTTGGACAAGTTTCTTGGACTAGCAAAATAGAACCTGAGGGCCCATCCCCAGACTCTCGGTTCCTGTAAAGAGTAACTGCACTACCTTTTGCTTTTTTTTTCTTTTCCCCCCACATGAATGAACACATAGGTGTGCTACCTTTTTCTACTCCAGGTTTGGAGGAACATATCTGATCTATCTCAATCAAGCAGAATACATGTTTAACATTTATTGTAACAAAGAATAGACCTAGAGGGAATTTGGGATAAGAATGAGGGCCAGGTAGTTCTTGGTGTCTGTGGTTCATTGCACAATTCCCACCGCTACCATTCCAGGAGTTAGGGATGCTCCCAGAAATAAATGTGCTCCTTTTGCCCCTCTTTATGCCAGCAAGGGAGTAAGGTAGGCCTTTTCAGGATAGAGGGTCTAGGCCAAAACAGAAAAATGCTAAGCAGAGAAATGAAGCACAGAAAAAAAGGGCAGGCAAAAGCACTTCACTTTACAGTCTTCAGGTTCATATTTCAGATCCTGTTGCCTGCTTCAGTAGCTTTGGTCAGAGGTTATTTAGCCATCTGGTTGTGAATAAAAAATAAGTTTGTAGGCCAGGCACAGTGGCTCACAAGAGGCCAAGGCAGGTGGATCGCCTAAGGTCAGGGGTTGAAGACCAGCCTGACCAACATGGTGAAACCCTGTCTCTACTAAAAATACAAAAGTTAGTAAGCCGTGTTGGTGGGAGCCTGTAATCCCAGCTACTCAGAAGGGTGAGGCAGGAGAATCGTTTGAACTCGGGAGATAGAGGTTGCAGTAAGCTGAGATTGTGCCATTGCACTCCAGCCTGGGCAATGAGAGCAAAACTCTCTCAAAAAGTTTGTAAACAATAAAAACCCTCAAAGAAAATAAAGACCAACACATCATATATAATATATTATAGACTAGTAAACAGCAAATCAAGTTGTGAAGTTCTATAGAGCTCATATGTGTTTAAAAGACAAAGCAAACGTGGGTCTCACTCCGTCACCCAGGCTTGAGTGCAGTAGCACAATCACAGCTCACTGAAGC